AGGAAAAAAATGGGGCCAGACAGAAAGTAAATGAATAGGCCAGGCTCTGAAAGTGAATTTGTGAAGATTAAAATTGATCTGTTGAAGAGGAGATCAGTTATGCTGTTGAGAAGATGGCAGTATATTTGAGGGGTATAGGAAGGGGGAAGGGGAAGGGAAAAGCAGCTTGCAGAATTGTAGAGGAAAAAAAAGGGTTTAGAACGGAAAATTGAAAAAGAAACAAGTTAGAAGACACTGAATTGTAGAAAAAGTTGAGAGGACAGTTGGGCAAACCAGGAAAGAGGAAGAAAACGGGGCTGGTAGCAACGAGGGCTGAGCAAACAGTGGGACCTCCAAGAAACATCCGTAGCACTTGCAGATGTGAGCCAAAGCAGACTAAAAATTATCATGGTCAGTTTAGGTGTGTTTCAAATTGCTGGACAGAAACTTAGCTGAGACTGCTGCAGCAGAAGATGCCAGGGATTGGGGGAAGGGGCAAAAAAGAAAAAACAAAAGTGTCTTTGTTACCTCTCATCAGACGGACCATAAAGATTTTATGTGAAGGTTTCCTTACTGGAAGCTGAGCTATGTCGCATACCTCTGGTTTTTGTTTTGTGCACGGGAAATATCAGACTCGGTTCTTTTAAAAAGATTTAAAGCTTTTGAATTCAGCAAGCCATTAGCCCAAATCACAAATGTTTGAAGTGAGGACCTTGTCAAAAGCAATATTGCATAAGATTGAAACCATGACTGGCTACTATGTGTAGCTAGCACTATCTATCTGGTCACAACTAGATCAAACATTTGATATAAAGCAATTAGTTAGCTGCCAAATGCTTTTTAAACTCTTTTTTTTCTTCTTTTTGAGGTTCCATAGATGTTTCTTCCAATGACAGGATTTTGGGATAATTTCTTACAATTAGTATTGATTGATAAAATGAACTCTGTATCTTGTTTAATAAGCTCATTTTTAAGACAAAGACAACAATAAATTGAGCTTTCTGGATTGTGAAGTAAGCTCCTCAGTTAAGGCTGTTGAGGTTATTGTATTGTGGTACAAAGAGGATATGGTATGAAATCTCTTCCGTTAAAATAATACAGCCATTGGCTTGCAAGCAGTTAGCCTGAGGGTATGCTTGTGTGTCCTGGAAGGATATGAAGAGTCCCAGCTAATACTGCAGGAGTCCCAGAGACCTGAAACGTAAGTTGTTGGATCCCTGCTATGGGTAATTCCTCCTGCCATGTTGTAGGATCCCAAACTAGAAAGCAGTGTTGGCGTTGAGTGCTTGTCCTAACTGTATCTTCTGCAAGCAAAAACCTTGAACTGTTTGTTAATGGTACTTTGAGGGGTCTTTTCACTTTTATTACTGTCTGTATTTTTTTCCCCCCAAATTTTAAAATTAGTCCTTAACAAAACATGAATTCCTTGAACGATGTTATCCTTTAATTCTGTGTATTTATCTTATGACTGCGTATTACTGGCTTTGATAACTCTCAAGCTCGCAGGACCAATACTCTTAAGGCACATAAAGATATACAGCCTGCTGAATTTGAGTGTGAATCTATCACTTTGCCTCCTGTTTCTGTGCCTGATTTTTGTTGTCTGGAGAGTTATGTACTCACTCCACTACAAAGCTAGAGAGCGAGTTACCATGGAGGACATGGAGGTGATCAGGGAGCAAGAGCTTGAATGCTAGCATCAATGATGCAACTGTCCAGATGCAGTCCAGTTCAGACCATTTTCATGTGTGGTTAGAATCATAGAATCATTTAGGTTGGAAAAGACCTTTAAGATCATCGAGTCCAACAAAGTTGGCAGCCAAGACCTGCCGGATTGGTGACACTTGGCATATTTATCTCATAACAAAGGTGCCAAAGTGCCATTTGACCTGGAACCTGCCAAATCCAGGGTGCCATTTTAAAGGAGCCCAAAATGTCTGTCTGACCTTCCTTCGTAGGCTGGTTAATAATCTGGTCCCGGTTTTTGTGCAATTGATACCTAAATGTGAAGATGGGAGCTTAAGTGATGCAGAATCGTCAGCATACCAAATTCCCTAACGCGCCTGCACCAGCTGTAACCTCTCCGCAGAAGTATGTCTTAGGGAGGAGAGGAGTGCTGCAGCTCTCTGATCCACTCATCCCCGACTCAGAGTTTAAAGTGCACTGCTAACTCGAGCACTTTCTTTCCCATCTCTCACTGGAAGTAGCAAAGCCAGGACATTTTTCTGATTCCTCTGTAGTGCCAGAGCCCTGCACACCTTGGCGAGGACCTGGAGTTCAGAGGTGTCCTGTGCACTCAGCTGTACAGGTGTAAGGAAGTCACCAGGACTTGTGAGTAGGAGACTTATTTCTGTTCCTGTAAATTACCATATATACTGCTATGAGTTTTCACAGGACTTAAAGATGTAAACTATGAAGGGCTTGCAATAATTTTTCAGGGTTTACTAAAGCCCCAAGGGGATTTACTGAGCTTATAAAGTGCAAGTGTAGTTCAACTCTGAATTCTGATTGACTTCAAGGCTAAACACTCTAGGGTTTTGATGCTTCTCTGAACCGAAAAACAAAGTTGGACAAGATTCACTCTTTACTGCTCCTGTTAATTTTGTCATTCCCTCTAATCACTTTTATTTTTTTCAGCACAAGATTAATTTAATTTCAGTATAGAACCTGATTTGTTTTCTCTTTTTCTGTCTTACTCAGTTCATATTCAGGCATGCCGTGCCTTGATGATTGCTTCCATCCTTTTGGGATTCATAGCTACAGTACTCTCGCTGCTTGGTTTGAAGTGCACAAATGTTGGGTTGAGCGATGAAGATGGAAAAATGAAGTTTGCTGTCACGGGAGGATTTCTGTTTATTTTAGGAGGTAATATCAAGGCTGAAATGAGAATGCTGTCAATAGTTTGTATTGCTTTCACAGCTAGACTAAATGAAATGAACACTTGTTCTTGGTATAAAGTTGTTACCACCATTCATCATTCACCTGTGTGCTTTTTAAACTTTTTCTGATAGGTCTCTGCTCCATGGTGGCTGTTTCTTGGTATGCTGCGATGGTTACTGCTCAGTTTTTTGACCCGTTGTATGCTGGAACCAAGTAAGTTAATAGATCTGTCATACCAAACTCCATCATGTGTTACAGACAGCTGCACTAACCTCAGCTGCTCCAGAGCTTCAGAACCTGGATGGGTCCCATTATCCAGTCCTACAGGAGGAAAAATTTGTCTTCAGGGAATCTTTTCACCTCAGAGATGTTGGTGGGGAGGGAGGAGAGTTCTCTTCTGGAAGGTTTAGTGAATGTGTGGGGAATATCAACCCCAAATCTGAGGGGTTCCTGTACTGTGTTTACATTTTCTTGTGAGACTCAGTTAAGTGCACATCTCAATGCTATGAAGAAGAAAAGGTAAAAGTCTTAATTTTCTTCGTCATTTAGACCAAGAGAGGTACAAAATTCTAGCGATGGCTAGAATACAATGCCTCAGATGTACAAGCAAATGAAAAAACATACAGAAACCAGCTTGAACTACATACTAGTGACCTGCAGATAGCTGAGAAACATCATTGAACTGTGCTGCTTGTCTGAAAAAAGTAAAAAAATATTTTTCACTGTGTATTAAAAGCTCCACATCTGTTTGCCTTATGAGTTAAAATGAGGCAAAGTTTGTAGGACTATCAGCTCAGACAGTTATGCACAAACAAGTTTCAAGGTATAAAAGCCCTTATTCTTGTCTGATATAAAAGCAACAGTCTTCAAACCCAAATGCCCGCTTAATGGCACCTTATCTAGGTCAATAGATTCAGCAATGAAGAACAAGTGTGGACGTGACCAGGCCTCTCTTCAGAGAAGGGGAAAAAGGGAGAGGGAAACATAATATATTGTCTGTGGAACATGAGAGAGCTGGTTTGGGGAAAAGGGGACATTTATAATTTGCCAGTACCTCTACCAAGTATATAATTTTTAGATCAGTAAACTATAAATCTTTAGTTGCTGGGATCATATTTGAAGTGTTTTTTAAGTTTCTTCCTGAGAATCAGTTCAGGGAAGTCAGAGGTGAAGTGGTTTGTTATGAATCAAAGTACTTTAAGCAATTGCTTTGGATGTTTGTCAGTTTTCCTTGTGTTTTCAAACACGCACTTACAAAGGAATTGCACTTGTGAATACTTTTTGTTGTTTTATATCCCCATGAGAGAATTATATGAAGGGTAATAAATACGTTAGAGGACCAAAACAACTGTTGATAAGGAATTTCAGTTAGTGGGATAATTAACGAGTTTTACAGTTATCTGGTGTAGCTTTGGGGCTTCAACATCAAGGCATGTTAATCAGTTACCAGATTGTTTGCATTCAGTAGGTAGAGAATTTTTTTTTTTTTTTAATATCTAAACTTCATGTTTAAGACTATCGATTCACTAAGCAGTTCTTAGTGAATTAACTTTGATCATTGGTAAAGCCAGACATGCTCTTGAGGAAGTTTGTGCTCCTTGGACTCTGTGAGACAGGTTTAAATTCAATTGCAGACCAGTATTAATCTTCACTCTCAAGAGACTGGCAAATCTGGTTTTGCAGATTGCATTTTTGTGGCAAAATTTTTCAGCAAATTAATAAAGTTAACCTCTACTACTTCTTAGGGGAATTTATCGTACAGCTCTGAAGGCAACCTAAGTTCTCCTGCAGATCCCTCCTACATACTTTCTTTTGGTATGCGTCTACAGCATTCCTGTCTATAGGTGACTAGTGAGTTGAGACAATTGCATGCACTGGGCAACACTCTCTGGTTGTTCCTTAGTATTCCTCCAGCAACTTGCACTCCTGCTTTTTTGAGATAATTATTATCTCCTTGTTCCATGTTTGGAAAAGTGCCTAAAACAGCAGAGACCTTGTGGCTCCAATGTGCAGTGAGGACAGTGAACCCATGTAAACCTCTGAAACCTTCCTGTTAGCAATTAATTCTAGAGTCAGAAACTTCGACACTTTTAAATAACGATTTTGTGTTTACAGGTGGAAACACAACACACATATCCTGTTTCAGTATACCTCCTACTCAGTCCATGACTCTTATTTTGCTCTTATATTGGTTATCTCAGACCACAGAAGTACAGCCGTATTGTGGATATAGTCTTTGTCTGAATATAAAAATTTGTTTGCCTCTTTTTGTGAAACACCTGCCAGACTTTCCCAGGCTCAGTTGTGTCTAGTCTTTGGGTGAAATTCATTATCAGTGAATTTCTTGGATGGGACTAGGGGGTTTCCTGAAGGGTGTAGTTTTGTACAGTAAAATGGGGAATTATTCTTTTTCAACCTGGGACTATTCATAAATGTATTTCATCCATATAATCACAGAGAGTGCTGAATATTCTTTAGGATACATAAGTTTGAAAACTAGCCCTATGCACATAGCTACTTGTAGGTGATCTAGCATCTTGTCCATAGAAAACTGATTTCTATGGTTAGCCTTTTCTTATGACACAGACAGTAAGGTCCGAATCATTTAGTTTCACAAAATTACTTCAGTGGCACAGCCAATACAAAGGCAAAATAAGTGTTCTGGACTGCACAGAAGGTCTATTATTATCAGTTATTATCAACAATTTATTAAATATATGCAAGTATTTATTGCTGCTTATCTTTATGTTGCTTAGTACTTTCTGCACTGTCGCTACTTTGGCAGAGCACTTAAATATACACGTAAGAGTTTTTCTGAACAGACGCAAAGCCAGATCTGTTCTCCTCTGTTATCTGTTGAAGTACCTTTCAGTTAGCTGATTTCTACACACACTAGAATTTGTTTGTTTGCATGATTTGTGCACCTTATGGCTCAGTCTAAAAATAATGGCTTTGTGATGCTGTTATATGCTGTTTCCATAAAATCTTTCATGTTTCAGGTATGAACTAGGAGATGCTCTGTACTTAGGCTGGGCTGGATCTGTTCTTTATACGCTTGGTGGGATCTTACTGACCTGTTCATGCAAAGGGAAGAAAAAACAGGATTACAGGTAATCTTGGATTTGTCAGTGGAAATAGTACCTGTCAATTATATGCCATTTTCTAGCTGTATACTATTCTCTCTCCCTCACCCCCTGGTATAAATCTGTAGCTGTATAAAGTGCAAACAGGAAATTGTACCTTTTAATTCAGCGCTATAGCATGTCACAGACTTGTGATGGCAGGGGATGCTGTACCAAATCCTCGTACCTCCCTGACAGTGTACTTGTTGATACTGTGCCATCAGCAGTCCCCTATAACTAGTATTTGGTAATTCTGGGTACTGCTGATGGTTCTAAGATCTACATGATGAAAATGTGCAGTGAAAGAGCAAACTATCTATTGCCAAAAGAAAAGTATATCAAAGAATATAGTGCATTATAATCAAGTTTTTCTGCAATACTCACTACTATTAAAATATTCAAATGCCATTTAATTTGCAGAAAGTGTAATGGCATTTCCCTCCCAAACCATATCCAATTGATCATTAGACACATATGATCTTTTTCTTGTTCCTTATGGAAATGTCTTGTTGCGCATCAAATCAGAAAAGTTGAGATTTCTGGCCTCAATATTTAACCTTGCCTGGATTTTTTTTTTTAATCTTAAATTATTCACACATACAGAAGTCCCTTTCTGAAGGAGAGGGATGAAATTGTCAGAAGTAGCAGAGGTCCATATCTACCCAGAAGAACCCAAATGGCTTGGAGGCTATACTGGCTAAGCTTGAGAGGATGATAACATGGAAGGAAGAAGCATGCTCACTGCTGCTGTATTTAATCTTAGAAAAGTTATGTCAAAACACCTAATAAGTGAGAGTGTTCCTCTGATACTCCATTGCCTAATCTGAAGCCATTTAAGTTTTATGGTAATATTTCATCAGCCACACTGGACTTTAGATCTTGCTCACCATACTTTGACACAAAGTCCCAAATATCCTGAAATGTCTTGGAAAATCAGGTAAAACTGATGTATGAAATAGAAGTGCAACATGACAAATGACAGCTGAAGGGGTTGGCTGAAGATACTTCTGGTTTACTTTCTCATCACCTTGATTCCTGTATTAAAAACTGCAACTTGCACAAAGGCATTGATGTCTAGGTTCTCTTCTGCTTTAGGGAATTGACTAAAATGCCTTGAGGAAAAGCACATGCGAGTTAGGAGTCCCGAGTGTGTTTCTGGTTAAGAGATGGCTGTGCTGCCTGCCAAAGAGCCCATCTCTTTCCCCTTAACTACAAGACTGATGAGAACAATAGGCCTCTAATTTCTGCACCTTTGTGAAGTATGTGCTATCAGTGGGTTAGATACAGACCTAAATGAGTAACTTCCTAAGTATCTGAAACTGCGGATGTGTGTGTAGTACCTATTATTTTGTATCTTTTTTTTCTTAATTTACAGTTGCAACAAATACGCATATTCAGCAGGCCAGGCAGCTCATCAGCAGCGCATTTACACCAAAAACTCTGAGACAGGCATAAGCAACAAGGAGTATGTCTAAACTTATCTTTTACATCACTTGTAACGTTATTAGGTTATGAACTCAAATAAAGAAGTGAACTACTTCCAGGGTTCTGGTTCCAATTCATCTTAATTTGGAGCAGTACAAGGAGGAGGTATGGCTTTCAGTGTAAATAGGAATGGTTTTCTGGGAATAGTTTTCAAATGTAAATAGGTTTCTACAGAAAATGCTGTGATGTGAAATCCTGCGGCATGAAGTTTTTCTGACTGCTGAGAAGCCTGGTAAAATTTAACCACAGAGTGCAGTGTATCCTGACAATCAAGAGCAACTGTTCCTATTTCAGCTGACTCAAAAATGTGGAACTGATATGCTGTAGCTGACTGCAAGTTAATACATCTCACAGTTAGAAATGTATTGTGTTTTCATAATGTTTAGCTTCCCACTTTTGTTTAGCAGCTTTAGCTTTTGACAGGAAATAAACTTTGTTCCACAGACTGACTGAAACTTTTTTTTTTTTTTAATGAGTGGTATCCTGGCCGTTAATAAGGATATAGTCTATATACTGTGGGCTTGAATTCTCATGTTACACTGAAATTCATATTATGTATGATAGTCAAGATTTATAAAAGCTACAAAAAATTCCCTAACAACCACTCATCTCCAAATCTACAGCTGTGCAACAGATTTCTTGTTGGTTGTAATGCAGATAACAAAGATAAACGATACAGAATGAAACAAACAGCTGGGAGTCGAGAGAGCAGCTGGTGCGAAAATGCCTTGTGATAACTAAGAAGATGATAGCCCCATTTTTTAATTTTTATTTTTATGTTTTCAGCTTTTAAAATAATTCTGTTTTAACTTTGAGCAGTCTTTAACTTCGTGAACTTCTGCTGCGTGTGAGTTGTCTAATTCATGTAATTCCCCAGTGGCTTTATTCTCCGTCATTGTTCCATCATTAGATTTCCGCCTTAAACTACTCCACTGCTGGGAGCATATGTTTGCCTTGTGGAAGCACTTAGACAGATGACAATGCGCTAACTGTACTTCATATTGGTGCTTTGAGCAACGTGGCATGGAATTTCACATTGCAGGTTCACAGGTTTCATAACTTGTCCCTTTTAAATTACAAATATATTAATACAGTTTGACAAAATACCTTGATGTTTCTACTTTTAACATCTTATGATAAACATAATTGTAGTCTGATTTAGAAGCTTCGTGCAGCTTCCTTGATATCCCAAGAGATAATTTCACAGGGCAACCTGCAAGTGGTCTTAGCAGAAACGATTTAGCCATGTTGCTTGCATACAGATACAGCTGACTTGTAAACTGACACATTAAGGCATGAATTGGGCACTGGTAGATCTTGCTAGGCTTAGTAAGGAGAGCTAAAAGGAGTGAGGATTACTTTTAGATTTCCCATGCCATCTTGTTCCCTCTGCTATCACTACTTTTTAAAAAATCATCCCTTTGGTATTTCGGAGAATAATTTCAAAAGCCGAAAAGGCACTTAACTTGCATGGTGGGAGCTGAACTCCTTAGCATCGTCTGTATATTCTGTCCTCTGGATTTTTAGGTAAGATATCTTGGTCTAGTTGAACGTAAGGAAAATACACAGCTCAGGTAGTGACTAAGCAGTTCCAGTGCTGGTTTCCTACCAAAGGTTGCGTCAGCTCATGAACGTGAATTATAATCCAGTAGGGGAGCGACGAATTCAGAACTTTCTTGGTCTGGCATCAGGTCTTCCAGTGACATCATTGGGAAGTTTAATTACAAACCAAGAGTTAAATCCCTATGTAGTAACTCATTCATTTGTTCAATACATTGTTACTGTATTCGGTGTCATTCTGGGGAAAATAAATGCCAAAGATACCATGTCTTTCACTGGTTTGTTCGCAGTCCTTCCAACCATTTTCTGTTTCTCCTTGCTTACCTGCCCCTTCCCCATGCACTTTTGACGGTAATGCTCTGAATGAATTTAATGAACCATCAACTCAGTTTGGGGAGTAAGGCATTTTATGTAGGGGTGATATATGAAGTGATTTTTTTTTTTTTTTTAAATTTGTAGCAAGCCACTTAACTCTCTTTAAAATGTGTTCACACACTGCTATTTTTAAGTCCTTTGCTCAGCAGATCGGACTACTTTGGTATCTGCAAATCTTCCTCATATCTCTGCAGCTGAGACCAAAATCCTGCATTGGGTTCTGCTACTGGTCTGGCAGTCTTCACAGTCTAGGAAAAAGGAGAGACATTGTAGAAGCAAGGGTGTGTATCATGCAAATGGATTTTTTTTTCCTCTTAGACTTCTGAGAAGATTTACTTTGGCTTTGATTTGGCTACAGAATAATAAACAGATATTTTGGTGAGCTGACCTCACTCTGTGCTTGCTAAGACCTCGTGGCACGTGGTCCCTGTTACAGAATGGATTCATGGGCAAGACGTGAAAGGGAGCTGTTGAATTTGCTGGAAATGTGAATGTCTCTCACAAAGTGTGGTGACACCACTCATGTTTAAGATAGCGTGGAACTTGGTCACATATCTGCATGCCTCTGTCTAGTACTGAGCAAAACGGTTATCGAAATTAGAGACTTTAGTGATGTACCTACCAAATGGGTGAAGACTAAAAGACCATAGAGCATGAGTCGTACATATTGGACGGGCTTCCTAATAAAGTTGAGATTCTATTACTCACAGCTAGCTAGTCCCTAGCTATTTAGCAGGCCTATCAGGTGATATTTCTTTGCTGTGTTGAGCTGTCACGTCGGTAATTAGAGCAAATCCTGCAAAACAACTTCTGCATGCACTTGCATCCATTTCACTCATTTGCTTTATGTCTCTGTCTTCACTTATCATGAGTAAGCAAATGATAGGGAAAATGTTCATAAAACAACCAACTTTGCTTATTTGCTACCAGTGCTTAAAGCCTGTTTGCACTTGTAATTATAGTTGTCCCAGAAACCTCACATTGCAAGCTTATTTGTCCAAGTTGGGGTGAAAAAACTTACAGTGGAATTTTTATTCAAATGTTGAATATCTATGTAACTGCTAATAAACAGGTGAGACCACAAAAATAATTGTATGAGAAATCATCATTACTCATAATAAGCATTTGTATTTCTTACCCAAAAGATGTCTAAATATAAATCTGGGGATAAGTAAAATACCTCAAAGGCATCCTTGAGTGGGAGTTTTCGGTGTCTCATCAGATAAGCAATGCAAATGGCAGCTGATCGGCTGCGGCCGTTTTTACAGTAAACTAAGCACTTCCCACCGCTATTCACAGCCTCTTCTATAGCATCGCTGCACCGTTCAAAATACCGATACAGGTCTTCAGCCGGATCGTCGAACACGGGTACGCGCATGCCCCGGACCTGCTGGAGGCCAGGGAACGGCTGCTGCCTGGTGACATTAATGCAGAAGGTGACTCCCTCTCGCGTGAGCAGGTCCTGGTTGCAGGCTGCCCTGGCGTTGCCGATGAGCAGCGAGGGGGTGACCTTGGAGAGCTGGAGCATCCCCGGCCAAGGCCGCAGGCTCACCGGCACCGC